AGGAGGATCGTTGCGAGTTCGAGGCCAGCCTGGGCTAAAAAGTGAGCTCAAGGTCAGCCAGAACTGCATAGGGAGACCCTGTCTCAAAAAGATAAAGAAACAAACAAAAAAACAATGTGCTGGGCTGGGGATTTAGCTCAGCGGCACAGCGCCTGCTTGGCAAGCGCAAGGTCGTGAGTTTGATTCCTGGTACAGGGAAAAAACAAAAAACAAAAAAAAACAACACAATGTGCTGAGGCAAGAGGATCACTGCAAGTTCGAGGCTAGCCTGGACTACAAAATGAAGTTCAAGGCCAGCTTGAATTACATAGTAAAACCCTGTCTCAAAAAGAAAACACATACACACACATGCACAATGAGATACCAGGTCACATCTATTAGAATAGCTGTAACTCAAAATGGAAAATCACAAACGTTGCTGAGGATGTACAGCAACTAGAACAATCATGCATTGTTGGCAAGAATGTAAAATGGGACAACTGCTGCAGAAAATGGTTTGATGCTTTTTGCTCAAAATTTCATGCCTATATCTTGTACCCTGAACCACTACTATGAATATAACAATACCCAATGTATTGATTATTGTTACTGCCCTACTGGCATATTTCAAAACTGTTTGTTATTTTTACTTGTTTCTGTTTAAAAATTTTTTTAAAAAGAAATGGTTTGATGGTTGTACCAGTCAGCTTTGCACTGCAGGAACCAAATACCTGGCACCTACCGCTTAAAGAAGGTTATTCAGGCTCACAGTTTCAGAGAGTTCGGTCCATGGCTATCTATCTGGCTCCAAGGCAGAAACATGACGGCGGGAATGCATGGAAGAGCAAAGCAACTCAGCTTGTGGAATCCAGGGAGCAGAGAGAAGGGAAAGAACCAGAGAGGAAAGGGCCAGGGACTCACCAACAACCCACTTCCTCCAAGCAGGCACCACTTCCTAAAATCCATTCAGTTATGAACTCAGTGGCTTAACCCATTGATGAGGTCAGTACCCTCACAATCCAATTACTTCTCCAAGAGTCTTTTTTTGTGTGTGTCGTTTTGAGATAGAGTCTTCCTATGCAGTTCAGGCTGGCCTTGAGCTCACTTTGAAGCCCAGGCTGGCCTCAAACTCGAAACAATCCTCCTGCCTCAGCCTTCCAAGGGCTGGGATCACAGGCGTGTGCCACCATGCCTGGCTCCAGAAGTCTCTTTGTTTGTTTTTGGTTTTTGTCTTTTTTGAGACAGGGTCTTGCTATGCAATTCAGGCAGGCTTTGAGCTTGCTTTGTAGCCCAGGCTGGTCTCAGAAACTCCCAATGATTCTCCTGCCTCAGCCTCCTAAAGTGCTGGGATTACAGGCATGTGCCACATGCCCTGCTCCAGGAGTCTCTTAATGTGACAATAAAGACACTCTAGGAGTCTCTGAAGGTGACAGTAAAGATTAACTGGCATGGTGGTTTTCAAACAGCTGATCACATTTGACTCAGTAGCTTGACCCCTAGATATATCCCTACAAGAAATGAAAATGCATGTCACACAAAAACACATGCACCAATGTCCACAGCAGGATTTTCCATGCATCCAAAGTGTGGAAACAAGCCAAAGGTCCATCAGTCAGATGAGTAAACAAAATGTGCCACATCCATCCAGGGGGGTGGTATTCGGCCATGGAAGGGGAGGAAGTTCCAACACATGCTCCCATGCGAACAAACTTTGAAATCATTGTGCAAAGAGAAAGAAGCCAGACACAAAAGACTATATTTCCCATGATTCCCTGCAGGAAATGTCCACTGCAAGCAAACCCAAGAGGCAGAAAGCAGATGAGTGGTTGCCAGGGAGTGGGGGAAGAGGAAGGTGGGAGTGGCTGCTAATGGGTATGGACTTTCTTTTAGGGGAGACAAAAATGTTCTCTGATTGTTATATAATGGTGATTACACACCTGTGTGAACGTACTAACAATCACTGAATTGCACAGGTATGTCGTTTATATCTTTAAAAAAAGAGTGAGGAGACTGTAACTGTACTGCCAGGGCAAGATAGAAAACAGCACTGCAAGAGCAGAATCCATGTAACTTCTACGTGAAAAGGGAGAGACAATAACAATCCATATTTATTTTATTTTATTTTATTTTATTTATTTATTTTTTGTTTTTTCTCCGGTACCGGGAACCGAACTCAGGACCTTGCGCTTGCCAGGCAGGCGCTTTGCCGCTGAGCTAAATCCCCAGTCCCAACAATCCATATTTATTTTGCCTGCATTTGAATAAAAGTATTAGAAGGTTACATATGAAACTAGCACGGTTACCTGGGAGGGGCTGGGGAAGGGCAGCCAGGGTGGAGGCTGGCCTCCAACTCACGGTGATCCTCCTGCCTCACCTTCCCGAGTTCTGGGATTACAGGCCTATGCCACCACACCCAGTGACATCTTCTTCTTCTTTTTTTTTTCTTTGTCTTTTTGAGACAGGGTCTCATTATGCAGTTCAGGCTGGCCTTGAGCTCACTTTGTAGCTCAGGCTAGTCTCAAACTCACAACGATCCTCCTGCCTCAGCCTCCCAAGTGCTGGGATTACAGGCGTGCACCGCCACACCTGGCTGCGTTTTACCTACTAATACTAAAAGTTTTTAAAAAGTAAAAGTAGTCGAAGGTGGTGGTGCACGCCTATAATCCCAGTTACCCAGAAGCTGAGGCTGGAGGGTTTGGGGTTTGAGGCCAGCCTGGGCCACATAGCAGGATGCCAACTCAATAAATAAATAAGTCAGATCATATCATCTCTCAGCTCAAACCCTAAAGGAAGGGACTTCCCAGATCATCTTAAGTAAAAGCGGAAGACCTAATAACCCTGTTCAAGCCCCCACTCCACCTGCCCCTCTCCCGTGCCCCCTGACCTCCACCACCCAGTGCACAGCCCCCTCGCTGTCTCGGAACGTGGCTAACACACTGGTGTTCCCTCGGCTGGGAATGACATGCCCCCAGCTCTCTGCACACTTGGCTCCCTCCTCTCCTCTAGATCTTGGCTCAAATGTCACCTTGGTGCACAGACCTTCCCTGACCCCATCCCTACCTCCTCATTTTCTCAGAACAGCGCCGGGGCCAGGTTAGTGCTTTACAAGCGTGAGTAGATGACGGAATGTGTTATCTCAGGCTATCCGTCTGTCTGTTTAGCAGCCACTGGCATCCTGGTGCTGGCGGTGGGCACAGTCTCCAGATGTGGGCAGTAACCAGCCAGCCCAGCCTGCTTGGAGGCTCTAAGACTCACACTGAAACCCAAGATCCAGTCCCCACCAAAGCAAGGCAGGGTAACCTCCTGGGTTAAAAATGCCACCTTGCCGTTAATAAATGACACAAGGCCACTCAGCTTCACCAGAATCTGCAGGGACTTTGGCTGAGGCCTATCCCTGCTATTTGTTTTGTTTGTTTGTTTTTGTGGTACTGGGGCTTGAACTCAGGACCTTGTGCTTGCCAGGAAGGCGCTTGTACCACTATATCCCCAGCCCATTCCTGCTATTTGAAGGTGGCTCTCATTTCTTGAGAGGTGTAGGAAAAAGACACGGAGGAGGGACTGTGCTGACTGGGACAGTAGCCACCCAGGGTAGAAATAGCCCTGGGTAGATAACAGCTGAGGAATCTGGGGCTTAAACGCTCAGAGCCTCCAAAAGAAATCTAGAAAAAGATCTACCTCTCCTCCTAGCTCTCCCAGACACCTCCGGGGTCCTTCCTGCCTCTAGAGCAACTTTTTTTTTTTTTTGTACCGGGAAGCGAACTCAGGACCTTGCACTTGCCAGGCAGGCGCTTGTGCCGCTGAACTATATCCCTGGCCCTCAAGCATCTTCTATCTGATCCCACTGCATGGAGTTTTGCTTATTTGTTTTGTCTTTTTGAGACAGAGTCTCCCTATGCAGTTCAGCTGCCCTTGAGCTCACTTTGTAACCCAGGCTGGTCTCGAACTTGCAACAATCCTCTTGCCTCAGCCTCCTGAGTGCTGGGATTACAGGCGTGCGCCACCATGCCTGGCCCTCACTGTCCAGAGTTTATCTGAGTAGTTACTTATTATGTACTTCCTAGAGCCACATAGACCTAGGCTGAAAGCGTGTTGCAGTCATTTACCTGCTGAAGTATTAAAGGTATTTGGCCGTACCTTAATTGCTTCAACAAGCGCTTACCATGTGCCAAATGATGATCCGTGTAGTGGCTGGGGTTGGGAGTGTTCCCCAGAAACAAAGCGGGTTTTTTTTGTTTTTGTTGTTGTTTTGTGGGTTTTTTTGGCCCTCAGGAACTTTGTTTGTGGCAGGGGAGACAGAAACTGCAAGTTTACCGCCCCTGACAGGCCTGCGAAGACAAAACAGGATGATGTCACAGTGACCGGAGGAGAGGGCAAGCGAGCGGCTGTCAGCAGAGCCTCTCCGAAGAGGTCACATCATTAAACCGAATGTTGCTCTTCTCGCTCTGGGCCCAGCGCCTGGCAATTATTAAACGTTCAACAAATCTTAAGAGAACCCTATTGTCATTTTCATCAGTTTAGTGTCCCCTCTCTCAGAAGGACCTGAGCGGGCGGGGGCGGGGGGGACAAGCCTCGAGGTTTCCTTCCCGCCCCGGGGTGCACAGCACTGGGCTGGCACACCGTTGGTGCACACGGTAGGCTGGATGAATGCTCCGGGCTCCAGCCCGAGCGCTCCTCTCCGGGTCCTCGCACACGATCGGCGCTTGAAGAGCGTGCAAGAGAAACGCCAGCCTCTGGGCCGGGTCTCCGCCCACTGTACTGACCTATCCGCCCAGGCGGAGGTGGGCAGCGACGCACAGCGGATCCCCAGAGGCTGGAGCCGGGCCGGCTGGAGGCGGAGCAGGGCAGGCAGGGACGCGCCACCGCCCCACGCTTCCGCGCCCAGCTGCGCCCAGCTGCGACCCCGCCCCCAGCGCCGAGGTTGGCTGCGGCTCGGAGGCCACCGATTGGCCCGCTGCGCTCCAGCGCGGGATCCGATTGGCTGTGACGCGCAGCCTGGCGAAGCCCCCGCCCGCTCCGCCGCCGCGCCCGGCGCTGGGCAGTCATTGGGCGGCGTGATCTCGCCGCGGTTCCGCGGCCGTACAGCCCCGGCAGAGCGCACCAGGCAGGCTGGGCCAGTGGCCATGGCGGGCGCCGAAGACGGGCCGGGCCAGCATCCGGAGCTCGACGAGGACGAAGCGGCATATTGCAGGCGCTGGGGCGCGCAGCACGCCGGGGCCCGCGAGCTGGCCGCGCTCTACTCACCAGGTAAGACCTTGGACCCCTGGGCCTGCAGTCACCAGCCCGGGCTGGGGACAGCGACCCTGACTCCCCGGGTTGGAATCCCAGCCTCGGGTCCAGATGGGGAGCTCCAGCCTCGGCTTCTAACTTGCAAGGAGCGACCCCAGATCCAGGGACCCCACCCCGGGAGTCCCGTTCCAAGCCCGTGTCGGAATCCCAGCCCCGGGGCTTTCTCGCTGTGGAGACACTCCCTGAGTCGGCGAACTACCCTATCGGGTTCCGGGCCACGATCAGCCCTAGGAGATCCGAACCCTGGCCTGCAGGGCACCTTGGGCTGCAGTGAGCGCCCCTAGACTTGGGAACCTTCACTCTAGGGCCCAACCCAAGGCAGCTCCTTAACGACAAGCGCTGTCCCGGACCCCCTAAAGTCGCATCCCCTCCTTGGTTTCCCAGATTGGGAATTACAGCTAAACGCTCCGTCTGCACGCTCGCCAGGACCGTAGGCTGCAGTGACCTGGGAATGTCAGCTTCCCTCTCAGGGAACCCTAACTTGGGAGCTCCCAGTCTGCAGAGCGTGCCGGACACTGTTCCCCCGAGCCCCATCCTAGTTATTGCTTCAGTGGCTGCCGACTGCGATCTTTTTCCCTCCCACTTTGGGGACACTCAGGCGGAGCATCAGCCCTCCCTCCCACGTTCCTGGTTTCCGGGCGGTGGGGGGTTCCAAACCCCCCAGCTGAGGTTTCCTTCATACACAGGCCCCAACTCCAGTTTTGCTCCTCCCCCAAATCCATACCTTGCCCTTCTCCATTAGGATTTAGGGTGCAGAGCCCCCAGGATCACAATTTAAGAGACTGGGTGCAGCTCTGCCTCCTTCCCATAGGTGGAGATCTGCCCCTGCCTGCCTCTGGCTTTGCCCACCGCCTTGCTCTAGCAAGCAGTCACCCCCATCCTGTTTCTGACTCCCAGGAGAGCCTCAGGAATCTCCTAGAGTGCTCCTCCCCGCCCTGCACTCCCCGGCAGGACCCAGTGACCCCAGCGGTTCAGGAAGTACCTTTGAGAACTCCAGGTCAGGTGACTGGGAGTGAGGTCCCTCTGCTAGGGTGTTGCCATCACATGTAGGTTTGTCTGTTAAGCATTCTGACGTCTTCCCCACGCCCTTAATCTAGGTTTGATGCAGTGTCTGCTGCAAGTGGCTGTATGACCTTGGGCCGTTTGCTTTCCCTCACTGGGTCCTAGCTCACCAGAGACTGTCCCTGCTTGCAGTTCTAGGCTGTGGGTGCAGTTTCGCAAACCTCGCTTGGGTACCTGGTCTGTGCTGCCGTGGTTTTTTTTTGTTTTTTGTTTTTTGTTTTGTCTTTTTGAGACAAGACCTTGCTGTGCAGTTCAGGCTGGCCTTGAGCTCACTTTGTAGCCCAGGCTGGTCTTGAACTCACAATGATCCTCCTGCCTCAGCCTCCTGAGTGCTGGGATTACAGGCGTGCGATTATAGGCGTGGCACACCGGCAGTTTCCATGGTTTCTTCCAGCCACACCCAAAACACCCAGTCCCTGAATATATGGTGGGGGGGTGAGTTTCAGCGGCCAGACTTCTGAAGCTGTGTGACCTGGGCCGAGCCACTTCCCTTCGCAGCTTCCATTTTGCCCTCTCTGAAGACCAAGTGCAACGTAGTTTGTCTGCCCCTTCGTGTTGTTAGGGAAAGGAGACAGGATCACTGCTTGTGCAGTGCCCAGCATACAGAATGCACTTTTGTGGTCAGCCCCGTAGCCTCACCTATGCTGTAAGCCTGGAGTAAGCTGTCATGCATGCCTCCCTAGCCCTCAGACTCCCCACCTGGGAAGTGCAAGGAGTCAAGACCTTGCTTCCAGGGCCAGGTCTGCCCGCCCTCCCAACCCTGACTGCTTTCAACAGAACTGCTCCTAGGCAGTCTGGGCCTCCCCTGGGACTGCCGTCTCACCCCTCTGTCACAATTTCATCCCTATCCATTTCTGGATTCCTGAGTGCCTTTCTTTCTGCCAAGTAATCGTGTGGGAATCTGAGGCTGCAGTGTCCCCTGGGTGCCCCAAACCAGCAGTCCTTCTCTCCTCCTCGCCTGGAAGGGGGAGGGGGAAGACTGGCTAAACTGGTTCCTCGAAATGTTAAGTTCATAAGCTTTCCATGGAATGCCTCAGTGCCCATGCTGTGTGGCTTTGGGGAAGTGCCCTGCCCTTTCTGAACTTGGTGATGTTTTCCTCATTGCAGAGAAAAAACACCAGACGCTCAAAATTAAGGAAAGAAAGGTTTAGCTCAGTTTGTGGGGGTTTCAGTCATAATCAGCTGGCTGGGAGGCAGGGTGGCAGCAGCTCAAGGCAGCAGAAAACAGCAAAAGCAGCAAGAGCACAAAGGGAGAGAGAACAAACCTCTCTTCCTCCCTTATATTGTATGCAGGGTACACACCCACACCATCTCTGTGCCCTCCTCTTGCAGAGATTGAGAATGTTACAGAGTAAAGACCCCGACTCCCTCCTGAGTCTTAGTTAAACTTCTAAACTTCTGAAATCGATACAATGTATTAACCAATGTATTAACCCTTACTGGCAGTAAAAGGAGAGACCAGGCTCAACATATATTGAGCACCTGGATTCCAGTTCCAGGGGAAGGCTCTAGGGGCAGAGCATCAACACCGAAAAACTAGAGCTGGCATTTTAGTGAGACAAGCAGTAACCCCCCAAATAAGGGAAATGTCTCATCTGCTTAGTAGTGATGAGTGCTGAGAAGGAAATACATAGCAGGAAAGGGGGAAAGGAAAATATTCTGGAGAGGGTGACATTGTTCAGGCCCTGCTGAGCAGGTGACATTTGAACAGAGACCTGAAGGGACAGCAAAGGAAGGAGCTTTGAGAATATTTGAGGAAGAGTTGATCCAGACCAGGGAAGCAGCAGGTGCAAAGACCCTGAGGTCGTCACACTCCTGGCATGATTGCAGAGCACAGAGAACCAGAGAATTTCCTAAGCTCTGGGACTGAGCTCTTGAGATTCCTGGTGCCAGGCATGGCTGGGTCCATGACAGCTCACAGCAGTAGTAAGGGCAGCGGCCTAGGCAGCCTTTATTGAGCACTGACTGTGCAGGGCACCTCCTCTCAGAACACACAGACCTGCTCGTTCTCACTGCCGTCATGCCAAGTGCACCTGGCATTGACTACACTTTCCAGAGGAGGAAGCGGAGACCCTGAGCCTCCTCACTATCCCACACATGGGCACATGTTCTTCCAAGCACTAGTCCTGACTGGGACTAGGTGGCCCTCACCCCCAGCAGCTGGGAAGATTCTCGGGGTTGGGGACATCTGTTGGGTTTACCTGGGTGCCTGGCACTTGAGGAGCGCCCTGGCCATCTCTGTCAGGAATTTCAAGAAGCTCAGCAGAGAAGGACCCGCCCAAGGTCACATGGCAGTTAGGGGCAGCCCAGAACTGGAACACGGAACATTCTGGGTTCCAGACTTGTAACCTGCCCTGTGGAAGTGACCAGTCAGGGCGGGGTGTCCAGGAGGGGCTGGGGCTGCAGGTCAGCAGAATAGACATGTGTGGGGCTTGTGGCCAGGAGCCGCATGGGTTACAGCAGCCCGTCCTGTGGACCCCAGGTGTCTGGGTGAGGAGTTGGGGCCTCACTGTGGGACCCGGGAGCGGGCATAGAGCACCCTACACAGCCCTCTACTCTGGGTTTGAGCTTCCTACCAATGCGCCACCCTGTGCTAAGTACCAGGTTTGTGAAGGGTCTGGTGCCAGGGCCTCAGGTAGATGTCTCTTCCCAGAGGTGCCAGCTGGAACCTGGCTGTGCCACTTCTCAGAGGCCTGGGCTGTCAGGGTAGATGCAGCGCGAAGGGGCCTGGGTCCAGCTGTCTATCTCCCTGGCCCGCTGCGGCTGCCTCTGCCCCGGAGGGCACAGAAGCGTGTTAGGGGTTCCGGGTGTCAGAACATAGGGCAGGAGGCCTGGCCCCGAGAAAGCAAGATGGCAGAGCCCTGGCATGACCACCCCACTCCTCCCACTCCACACCCACACACGCCAGCCCTTCCCCAGGCCAGCAGGGGGTCACTGCTGTAAATCAGCTCACATCACCATGCCCACCAAGCCAGGCTGTGCGCAGCGGGCTCCAGCGCTGCAGCTAGGGAACAGGCAGGGTTCCCTGTCCTTCGAGCCCAGCCCAGCCTCAGCCTGCACATTGCCCAGTGACCACCTGACCTCACCCGCCTGCCAGGCTGATGGTCCATGCCACGACTCCCATAGCCCCTGAGCAACTTGGGCCAAGTTGCTTCATCTTTCCAGGCTATTTTGTCCCTCTGGAGGATGGGGAGGATGGGCCCCAGGCAGTAGGGTGTGGTAAAGGGTGCAGACCATTCTACTGCCCCAGTAGAGCTGAGGTGCTCTGTGAAGCTGCTTGTCCTTTTCTTTGTTTTTTTTTGTGTGTGTGTGTCTTTTTGAGACAGGGTCTCTGTGCAGTTCAGGCTGGCCCTGAGCTCACTTTGTAGCCCAGGCTGACCTCGAACTTGCAACAATCCTCCTGCCTCAGGCTCCCGAGTGCTGGGATTACAGGCGTGCACCACCACTCCCAGCGGCTTCCTGCTTCTAAGCCCTGGCCACAAACAGGAACCGGAAAGGGGAAGACCCTACTGGGCCTGATTGGGTGACGCCAGGCTAGGGCTGCTGGGACCGGAAGGCTGCATGGCCCAAAGGAAACGGCCCAGCTGAGGAGCAGGGAACGAGGAGCTCAAGGCCTGCTTCTGCTGCTGTGCAACTTCTGCTGAGGTCCTTGTCTTTTTTGGTCTGTAGTGTCCTCTGCTATAGAAGAGGGGCAAAGGGCTGGATCCTGGTGTACCCTCCGCCTCTGAGCTTTGATCTTCCCATGGGATAGGGGGTGGGCAGCTGGCTGTCCTGGTTCTGGTTGAGGATGGGCCAGGAGAAGTGTGCTATTATGTGACTTGTACCAGACCTGTCTGTTCTCTTTCTTCTCTCTTTCTCTTCCTGTCTCTCTCTGCCCCATTTTCCCTATCTAAACAAATGGGGAGCCTAATACTTCCTTCCAAGGTGTATTGGTGAGGAGCACCCAGAATGTAGCCTGGTAGTTTTCCTTTAGGACTGTGGTTAGGAGTTTGTTGATTCCACAGGCTTGACTGATCACCCAAGCACCAGGGCCCTGCGGAGTTCATGTTCTTTCACGGAGGGCTGCAGCCCTGAGCAGTAGGCGCTGGGCTAGGGGAGCAGCGAGGTTGGAGGAGGCCTGGTGGATGGCTGGCTGGAGCGGCCTGAAAGGGCAGGGAGCAGCACGCCTTGGCCCTACCCCTCGCTTTGCATTGCTAATTGCTGCCCAGTCAGTTTGAGGTGGTCTGGGTCCCCACACCCTCCAGAATGTCCCCAGGGCAATAGGGTAGCTGGGAATGGAGGGGCTGGAGGGAGAGTGGGGAGCAGGGATTTAGGAACCAGACCCATGGCCGTGACATCCCAGTCTGTAGCTAACTGGGCAGCCACGGGCCGCCTCCTTGACCACTTAGCCCCTCGGTTTTCTCATCTGCGAAAGGGCCCCCTTTGCAGATGCCGGGCCCTCAGTAACTGCCTAGTGAATGTTAACCAGTAACTACAAGGATAATACTATCATGGAGGGTCTCATGCCTTTGGGACCAGCCGCCTGGGACCCAGGGACCGATTCACGGTTCTATCAGCCCACATTTTTATTTCATTTTATTTTTTAAATTTTAACTTTTAATTAAAAGAAAAGTGTTGATTTGGTACATTCAAAAGGGAGTAAATGTAAAACCACATAGATGTTTTTCTTTCTGCATAAACGGCTGCAGTTCAGCGCTTCGCTCTTTGCCGCTACTGGGTTACGGTAAGCGTCTCTCGAGTCCACACGGAGGGCGGCTGGGCTTCCGCCTCGCTGCACAGGTGCTGTGAGCGGAGTTGATTTTCCCGATCCCCAGGTGATGAGCACTTGGGTTGTTCCCAAAGTTTTGACATCTCAAACAAACTGCAGGGAGTCAGTCAGCTTGCCTGAGCCGACAGGTGGGTTAAAAACACATGGCTGCCAGGCATGGTGACGCCCATCTGTCACCCCAGGGCTCATCCCAGCCCGGGCAACTTAGCGAGAGCCTGGCTCAAAATTGTTAAACATTGAAAAGAGGTTGGGGATATACAGTGGCTCAGTGCAAAGGCCCTAGGTTCAGTCACAGTACAACACACACGTACACATATGCATACACACACACACACACACACACGCACACACGCACGCACGCACGCACCCACCACGGCAGCACTGAAATAGATTTCCCACCTAAGCCCTGAGGCCTGGCTTCTCTTCAAAACCAGAAGCTCCGCCTCTGTGGGCCTCTGTCCTGACTAGCAGCACCAGGCAGTGGCCAAGCCTAGAAACGCCAGCATCCCCCAGGCCCCATGTCTACTGATCCGTGCAGGTGAGGGCAGTTTCTGAACCTCTGCATCCTCACCTGCAAGGGCACAGGGGACCCCTGGTGCCTGAGGCTTCTGGTCAGGTTAAACAGGAGCTCATTGCAGCTCTCAGCCTCTCCAGAGAGGGCTTGGGTGGCACCAAAGTTCAGGTTCTGTCTGCCAAAGAATGGCAGACAGAGCCAGTTCCTCGCTGTGTGACGCGAGGCTGGCGTGCCACGATGATCCCAGAGCCCGCGGCCCGGGGAACCTGCTCAGCACCCCTCTCCCCACAGGCAAGCGCTTCCAGGAGTGGTGTTCTGTGGTCCTCTGCTTCGGCCTCATCGCCCACAACCTGGTCCACCTCCTGCTGCTGGCCCGCTGGGAGCACACGCCCCTCGTCATCCTGGGTGTAGGTGAGTGCCGGCCCTCGACCTGTGTGTGCGCTTGTGTGTGTGCACGCGTCTCCGTGTCAGTGGGGGACACCTCCATCCCTCCCTCCTGTCACGTGAGCCCGGTGCTTACGGATCAGTGAGTGAATGCACACGTGAGCTGCTGTTCCGTAGCAGCACCTAATGCAGGTCATTTCCCCTGCGCCGTCCTCACCCGTCCCCACCTGGCAGGTAGGTGCTAAGATTGTCATCCTTCTCTGGATGAGGAAACTGAGGCTCAGAGAAGGCACCAGCCAGAAGTGCGGCATAGATCTTAACGTACCAGCTGCACTCCCAGACCCCTTCCTGTCCACATAGCACCCCTCCCTGTCACCTGGCATTCGCTCACCCTGTCATGGGCTCCCAAGCTGGGGTGCAGCTGTGGCCTGGGTCCTGCCTGCCCTCCCTAAGCGTTCGGCTCCCACAATCTCATTAAAAACACTCTGGCCGCCTGAGTCAGTAGTGCCCAGGCTACTAATGGAGCCATCCGGGCTGGGAGGGGCAGGGCGATCCTGGGGGCTCTGGCCAGGGGAGGGGAGAGGAAAGCTGGCCTGTGCCAGCAGAGCCAGGCTGCTGCCTGCCCCGAGGATGGGCACCTGGGACCCTGACCCGGGCACCAGACTCAGGGCAGAAGGAGACACTGCCCCTTGGGGCCTCAGCGAGGGGCGCTGAGGCAGCCTGGCAGCCCTGGGTCCACGCCAGCTTTGCCGCTGCCTGGCTCGCTGCCTTAGCGGGCACCACTGCCTCCCGGAACCTCAGTTTCCATCCACTAACGGTGAGGGCTGTGGTGAGGCCAAGACGCAGGTGTGCGTCAGTGCGGGACAGCCTATGACAGACCTGGCCAGGAGATGCCACCCCCCAGGCCACTGCCCAGGGCTGCAGCTGACGGTGGGTATTGTGAGCTCCTACTGGTTTCAAGCCCTGATCCGGGCACGTCCTGTCCTTCGAGGCAGCCTAGTGAGGGAGGTTCCAAGTCATCATTCTCAGGAAGGGCGTGTGACACCCCCCGTTGCCCCTTGAGTGAGCAGCAGCAGAATCTGGGTCACAAATCCAGACTTCCAGCTCTCAGACCACGGGTTTCCTGGCCGGGGTGAGACCGCCTGCAGGGGACTCGGGGGCAGAGGCTGCTATGGGCCACGGCCAGGGTCTACAGGATCGGAGCCCTGGCTTGGAGGAAGGGGGCATCCTGGGCAGGTCCCCACCTGCCTCCCTAGTTAGGACCTGAATGTCCAGCCCCAGCCTGAAAGCATCCGGCCGTGGAGCAGCCCCACATGGTAACCAGCTCCCTGCCTGAACCTCCGCCTGGGGGCTGATAAGAGCACACAATAGCCTGATAGCGGTGTTTGCACAGGCCCGAATCCATTTAAATAGCCGCCCTGATTTGAGTGTTAATCCGCAGGTGGTTAGGGCACTGTGCCAGCCACCGGCGCCTGCCCCTACCTGTCACCATGCCTCCAGAGCTTCTGGCACCCAGGTGGCCCCGGAAATCGGGAAAAGCAGAAGCATGAGAGGTGTGAAGCGGTAAACCAGGCCGATTGGGCTGCAGAGCTGACAAGCACAGGAGATGCGGGGCTAGTGGGGAGGCCTCTCCGGAAGGGTGGCGTTTGTGTGGAGTCCTGAAGGAGGCGAGACGAGGCCGTGCAGGTGTCCTGGGGTGGGCGGTCCAGCCAGCAGAAACAGCCAGTGCAAAGGACTTGAGGCTGGCGGGGCAATGCAGAGGCCTGTGTGGCTAGAAAGCGTTGATCAGAGGAAAGGAGGTTGGTGGCAGCTCAGAGGCGGTGGGGACGGGTGGTGTGGGGTGGTGAGGGCCGTGGTCAGAGCTGCAGGTTTTATTCTAGGGGCCACGAGAAGCTATTAGTGCAAGGAGGTGACATTGGAGGACGGAAGGGTTAGGCAGGGGAGGGAGGAGGTGAGGTGCTGTCCAGGTGGGTGGAGACGGTGCCAGTGTCAGATGCGCTGTGTGGGCGAGGGGAGGAATGGCCTGGGCTGCAGGAGGGATGGGTGCTGGTGACGGAGGAGGAGAGACACACAGGCCTGTGGAGGCATTGTGAGGTGCAGGGCGTGGAAGCCCCGCGTGGAGATGGGGCGGGAGCCCAGGGGGTGCTGGCTGCCCCCATCTGAGTGCGCCTCCACGCTGCCGGGGAGGAACCAGTGCCCAGAGAGCTTGTGGAGTCTTGGGGATCAGCCGTGAGCACCGGCAAGGTGGAGAGCGAAGGGACTGCAGGGCTGGCCAATGAAGGTCGTCTATGACCTTGACAAGGACCCTGTCGCATGACAGAGTGGGTGCATGCTGCCCTGGAGACGGCAGAGTGAGAGTGTGGGCCTGAGGGTGACCCTGAGGAGGCGGGGGTCTTCTGGAGGCACCCTAGAGGAAGGTATTCCAGGGTACAGGACACAGTTGAAAGTTCAGAGGTCAGCAGGGAGGTCGCACGGCTTGGGTCAAAGGTAACAGGCTAGGTTTGATCCTGAGCTGACAGCGTGAAGAAGGCCCTGCCTGGGGCCTGGCACCCCCTCAGCCGTGTCCGCTGCATCCCCCGGCACCACACTGTCCACCTCCAGAGCTGGCCTCTGAGTTCCGGTAGGGGTGGAGAAGTCCCAGCAGGTGGCCTGTGGGGCCCCGGGACAGTCTCAAGTCCTGGTCCCCTTCCCCATCTCTGTGTTTGCAGGGAAGAGTGCTGACTAGGCCGATGCCACCCCGGGGTGAGCTGGCCCTCAGCTAGAGCCGGGACAAAGCGGCTTCTGTGTGCTGCCCTGCTGGCCCGCCCCCGTTCTGGTGCAGCCTCGAGGGCGGGCAGGCGCCCGGAGCCAGAGCTCCTGAGGGAACGCGCCGCAGCTCCTCCCTGCCGGGCTGAGCCTGCCGTCTGGCCGGGGCGCAGTGCCCCGGAAAGCAGGGGCAGGTCACTAAACAGCCGACAAGACTGAGGCTCCGAGAGGGGATGCACGGGCACAGCAGGTCACCCACGTTCACCGTGTGGCTTCTGTTGGTCAGGGAGGACATGTCCCTGTGCGTGACCTTGGCTGCCCCCACTGGCCCATGACGTTGGGCCGTCCTTCTCTGCGAGCCTCTGGTGGGGTCCCAGACTGAGGACGCAGGGAGAGAGCTTGTGCTTTTTTTGAGTAGCCTTTGTCTTTGCAGTTTACGATTTGCAGAGCAGCTGAGCAGGTGGTACACAGCCCCAGCCGCCCGTGCTCCCCCTCGCCCGCTGTCCCATGTGACGTGCACGGGTGTGCACAGCAGTGCTGAGGAGGGAACCCAGGGCTTCGCGCGCGCTGGACAAGCGCAGCGCCAGGGGCCACGCCCGTCTTAACATCTTACAATAGCAGCTCGTTGTTGCAGTGCACCCGGCAGCGCGCTGTGAGTCCCTGGTTCCCTGCGTTACCTTAGCTGACCTTGGTGTCCTTTTCCTGATCCAGGATCCCATCTGGCGTTCCACTAACTCGGGCTCTTTGGGCCGTGACAGTCTCCTGGGCCTTTTTGCTGGTTTGGAACCTTGATGGTTTTGAGAACGGTCAGGTGTTTCACAGCGTGGCCCTCGGCTGGGTTTGCCGGTGTTTCCCGTGAGTAGCTGGTGTGGCCGGCACTGTGTGTCGTCAGGCAGTGGGGCTGCGTTCAGCAGGACTTGCTGCTGTAATGTGGCCGTGATCGCTGGCCCAAGTGGCCCTTGTTGGGCGTCTCTGCTATAATGTCATGCTGTCCCCCTCCAAGTGTCCTAGCAAAGAAGTCCCTGCGAAGCTAATCTTACAGATTGGGAGGCAGGGCAAACCCCCAGCGGCTGTCTGACTCGCCCTGCTTCCTGTGTGTCAGCCGTTATCACTGGAATTGATTTTCTTGTCATCATCCTCATCATCCTTGAGGATTAAGTGCGTAGGCGGATTAAGGAGATAAGCTGCGTAACCGCCTGGCCCGTGTGCACTTCAGGGATTACAGGAGATGAGACATCTGAGGTGCTGGTCCAGAGCCTCGGAGGTTAAAAACAAAGCATCAATGCAGGGGCATGGTGGCCTGTAATCCCAGCACTTGGGAGGCTGAGGCAGGAGGGTTATTGCGAGTTCAAGATCACCCTGTGCTAGGAAGTGAGCTCAAGGCCAGCTTGAACTGCATAGCAAGACCCTATGTCAAAAAGACAAAAAAAAAAGTGTCTAACTTCTTCACCCAGGGAATGAGGGTGTCTGTTCATACTCAGTTTTGAACCTGAATGTTCAAAGCAGCACGACCCAAATGTCTAACGAGAGCCAGAGGGGCGATCTGTTATTTCCACCACACAGTGGGTGGAGTACTACTCAGCACCAAAAAGGGTGAACTGCTGCTGGTGCACCCATAGAACAGGCAAAATCAAGATACCTCAGCTTCCATCGTTCTGCAAATGAAGAGGCCAAAGCCCAGAGCAGGCAAGGAGTTTGTCCAAGGCCACACAGCGATATAGTGTGGACAGATGTGGCCCAGAACTCTTGTCTGGCTCCACCGTGGCTTTTGCCAATGGCTGCTTATCCCTCCTGGCAGAGGCCGCGTGTCTACAGCGGGCCGTCTGCAGTGGGAGCTCCAGCAGCACCCGGCCTGCAGGGGCACAGTTCATGGGTTGGAGGGGTGCCATCGGCCGTGAACCTCCCTGGCCTGTCCCAAGGCTGCCACTTCGCGGCCCTGTGACCTGGGATGGTGGTTTGCCTTCTCTGCACCTCTTTCCTTGTCTGAGAAGTTGATAGCAAAGCCCCCTCCAGTGGTGACCAGCTTTGAGAACACAGGCAAGCGGGGGTGGGGGAGCGGGACCCTGCACCCTGAGGGGAGTGGAGCATGGATTTGGTGGGCAGAGTGCAGAGAAGCAGCAAGAACAAACCTGTGTGTGTGTGTGTGTGTGTGTGTGTGTGTGCGCGCGTGTGCGCGCGCGTGCGTGCGTGTGTTACTGGGAGTTGAGCCCAGGGCCATTGCACTGAGCTTCATCCCCAGCGCTTTTTCTCTTCATTTGGAGACAGGGTCTCACTAGGCTCCCCAGGCTGGGCTCAGACTTACCATCCTCCTGCCTCAGCTCCGCAGAGGACTGGGATGATGGTGTGCGACACCACACCCAGAAAATGCTGCTGTCATCGCCTCCCTCGCTCGCTCCCGACCCGTCCTGAGTGACTGCCCAGGCTTCTGCATGCCGGGAGGCGCAGCCGCGTTCCCTCCCCCGAATCACGAGGCAGCGGCCCGAAGCTGTCACCCTACCCCACCCCACCCACACTCAGGCCTGGGGGGCTTCAGCTGCGCCTCACGGCCTCGGGGAGCCTCCAGTGCCCCATATTCATGCCTGTCCCCTGGCTCATCAGCTCCACTCTCCAGGGCGGTGTCCAGGGCTCCCCACAGCCTCCACAGTGCCCCAAGGCCCTAGTCCTGTGTCACCAAGCAGCTTAAGGCCCCAGCAGCACGCAGGCAGTGAGCCCACAGGGCAGCTGAGCCTGGGGAGTAGCTTGCCCCGGCCACAGGACTGTGAGTGTCTTCTGCCCTCCGCCCACCAGAGGTGGTGAGCAGGGTGTCGGTATCTTTGGGCTTGAGTGCAGCACACATTTAAGTCCTGGTCTGGAACTACAGTGACCCTCCTGCCTCAGCCTCCCAAGTGCTAGGATTACAGGTGTGCACCACCAGGCCCAGCTCTGCCAAGTGTTTAGTCTTTTTTTGGTTGGGGGGGGGCATTGTGCATTCATTCATTCACTCATTCACTTACTGTAATTGGACTTGCACCCAGGGTCTTTCGCCAAGCAGCATCCTCCATCCCTTCTTTTATGGTTGGTTTTTTTTATTTTTTTGTTTTTTGTCTTCTTGAGACAGGATCTCATTATGCAGTTCAGGCTGGTCTTGAACTCACTTTGTATCCCAGGCTGGCCTTGAACTTGCAATGATCCTCCTGCCTCAGCCTCCTGAGTGCTTGTAGCCCAGGCTAGCCTTGAACTTGCAATGATCCTCCTGCCTCGGCCTCCTGAGTGCTGGGATTACAGACATGTGCCACACCACGCCTGGCTCTGGGTTTTTGGTTTTTTTTGTATCAGAATCCAACTCAGGACTTTCACACTTGCCAGGTGGGCACTGTAACACGGAGATATATCCCCGGCCCTTATGTTTTGTTTTGAGACAGCATCTAAATTGACCAGACTGGGCTCAAACTTGTGATCCTCCTGCCTCAGCTTCCCAGAGTGCTGAGATTACGGGTGTGAGCCACCACGCCCAGCTGTTCTTTGTACTTCATTGAACTCTGATACATGCTGGCAACCAGGACGCAGCCATAAACAAATCCAGGCCCTCGTGGAACTGACGTTCTTGTGGTGTGGGAGACAGTAAACAAGGAAAAAGAAGTCTGGCGTAGGAAGTGCTGGTGCCAGGGAGGACACACAAAGCCCTGCAGGACGTGAGGGTGCGCACGGGGCAGGGTCTGGGAACAGCAAATGCCAACCAGGACCAGACCGAGGACATGGAAGGCTGGGGGGCGGGGGCTGGGGCAGCGGCCGCAGTGAGGGAGGGGGAGGGGTGGCACGGTTCTAGGGCTGTTGGCCACTCAGCCTCAGTTTCCCCATGGGTGGCAGTGGGACATCCCACTGTGTTAGATTCGGTCTCCAGGCAGCCTGGTAGCTCGGCCCTGCTGGCACAGTGTGTGACGTGCCCGATTCCCTGCAGCCAGCGACGTGGGAATGAGGTACAGCCAGCTTCTGTCCAAGGCGAAGAGGACACTCTCACTTCCGTGGGTAAAGCAGTTGTGCCTGGTGCTGAGAAAGCGCTCGGCAGCTGGTAGCCCCACAGTTCTTTTTTTTTTTTTTTTTTTTTTGTACCAGGAATCGAACTCAGGACCTTGCGCTTGCCAGGCAGACACTTGTGCCTCTGAGCTATATCCCCGGCTCCTGCCCCACAGTTCTTTTTATAGAAACAGATTTTCCTTAGTGTTTACAAATTTTACAGAGTTTGGGTTTCAGCACGTGCGATGTATTTGCTCCTGTCCATCCCCCATTCCCTTCTACCTCAAGCTCGTGATCCTCCTGCCTCAGCCTCCCTAGTGCTGGGATTACAGGCAGGCACCACCACACCCAGCTCAGTGCAGCTTTTGATTTGCATTTCACTAAGGCCTAGAAATGTTAAACATTTGCGCAAATACTTACTGGCTATTTTTGCTCTTTTGAGAAGTGTCCATTTAATTCATTTGCTCATTTATTGATTGGGCTATTTGATTTTTGGTGTTAAAGGTATTTGTTGGTATGTTTTGTTTTGTTTTTGATACTGGGGGGTTGAACCAGAGTTCTCACACTGAGCTATGTACATCCCCAACACATTTTTTTTATTTTTTAATATTTAAAATTTTTTAATTTTTTTGTGTGGGTACTGGGACTCAAAATCAGGACCTCGCACTTGCCAGGCAGGCACTATGTCACCAAACTATATCCCCAGCCCATTTTTTTTATTTTGAGACAGGATCTTATAAATGGATCAGGAGGGGCTCCAACTAGTGATCCTCCTGCCTCAGCCTCCCAAGAATGCTGGGATTACAGATGTGCCAGGCTGGTGTTAAGTATTTTGAGATCTTTGTATATTCTTGATATTCATTGTTGGTCAGAAGTGTCTGGAAAAGATTTTTTCCCATTCTCTTTACTCTGGTGGCTGTTTCCTTTGCTCTGTGGGAACTTTTTAATTTAGTCCTGTTTGTTGATTGCTACTGTTACTTGCCGTGCTGTTGGCGTCCTGTTCAGGAAGTCTGCCCGTGCCAGTGGCTCCAGGTGGTTCCCCGCTGTTATCTCACAGCAGTTTCAGACTTTCAGGTCATATACCAAGGTCTTTGATCCACTTTGAACTGATTATTTTTGACGGGAGACAGGGGTCTAGTTTCAGTCTTCTGTAAGTGGCTGTCCAGTTTTCCCAGCACCATTCGTTAAAGAAGCTGTCTTTTGTCCAATATTTTTTTTTGTCAAGAATCAGATGGCTGCAGTTGTGTGGAATTGTTTCAGTGTCCTGCATTCTAGTCTGTTGGTCTGTGTCCATTTTTTGGGCCAGGACCATGCTGTTTTCGTCTCTGTGGTTTTGTAGTATAATTGAAATTGAGTATTGTGATGTCACCAGCCTTGCTCTTTCTGCTTAGAATTGCTTTGGCTATTCTGGGTCTTTTGTCTTTCCATGTGAATTTTAGGATTGTGTTTTCTAGTTCTGTGAAGAAGTCACTGGGATTGCCTTGAACCTGTAGATCACTTTGGGTACTATGACCATTTAAACACTATTCTTTCTAGCTGGGTATGCTGGCACACACCTGTAATACCAGCACTTGGGAGGCTGAAGCAGGAGGATCACCTTGAGATCAAAGCCAACCTGGATTACATAATGAGACCCTGTTCCAAAAAGCAAAGCAAAATAATTCTGCTGAACCATGAACAAAGAAAGTTTGTTTTGTTTTTGTTTGTTGGTTGGTTAGTTTGAGATAGGGTCTTGCTATGTAGTTCAGGCTGGCCTTGAACTCACTACGTAGCCTAGGCTGGCCTCTGACTCACAGTGATCCTCCTGCCTCAGCCTCCCAAATGCTGGAGTTACAGGCCTGTGCCACCACATCGGGCTATTTTAATGTTAGTTTTATGTCCTGCTCTATGTTTTTTGTAATCGTCATCATTCCTGCTTTACAAGCAGAACCCAGGGCACAGAGACGTTAGGTAGCATGTTCAGTGTCACACAGCAAGTGTGATGGAGCTGGATTTAGCGTCCTGATGTAACCGCACTTAACCTCTGTGTTGCATGGAGCCCTCCAGCGCATGAATAGCGCTGAGCCTCTGCCTGAGACCTCACTGGATTCTGAGCAGATTGCGGATGAAGACAAGGAAAGGGTTGCTGGCAGCTAAGTGACCTGTGGGTGGGGTTAACACCAAGTCCCGAGGGACATTTTTCTCCAGGGCCAGGTGGGGGCTGGCCTGGAGCAGAGGCCTCCCGTGGGAGGGGACAGGACAGGACGGGACAGAGGACGCCAGGGGCTGAGGTGAAGGCTTCCTCCACAGGAGGGACCCTCTCAAGCAGGGGAGGGACTCCTTCCTCACCCAGCAAAGGAGCGCGCGGCCCGAGTGAGTGACTGAGGACCTGCTGGAGCGAGGGCGCAGGGGCGGTCCCCGCACGTCCCCTGCCCCAGGCTCACCTCCTTCCTGTCTGTCCTCAGTCACAGGCGCTCTCATTGCCGACTTCCTGTCCGGCCTGGTGCACTGGGGGGCCGACACGTGGGGCTCCGTGGAGCTGCCCATCGTGGGGAAGGTGCGTATGTCAGGCTGCATGGCCTTGGGTGAGTTTCCTTTCTTTTCTAAGCCTCAGTTTGCCTGTCTGAAAGGTGGGCGCTGTTATTCTAGCCTGTCCTTCGCATCTGTCCTCCAGACCAGAGCAAGAATCCCCTGGGATTGATGGGCACAAAAGCAGCAGGCATGGGAGGTCGCAGAGCTTTGACAAGTGCCTGCCTTCAACTTAACGGCCACATCTCTCTTCCTCCTCTTCCCTCCTATGGCTGTTTGTTTTCATTGGATATTTTCACTGATGGGGACTGAACCCAGGGCCTTTGCATAGAGCTATCGCCCTAGCCTTTTTTTTTTTTTTTCCTCCTTTTTTTCTTTAATTTCCAAATAATTTTGCTTCATTACTTAGGCAGGACTCAAACTTGTGATCTTCCTGCCTCAGCCTTCCAGGGTGCTGGGATTACAGGCATGGGCCACCACACCTGGATGTGTGTGTGTGTGTGTGTGTGTGTGTGTGTGTGTGTGTGTCTTTTTGAGACAGAGTCTCACTATGCAGTTCAGGTTGGTCTTGGGCTCACTTTGTAGCCCAGGCTGGCCTTGAACTCGCAACAATCCTCCTGCCTCGGCCCCGAGTGCTGGGATTACAGGTGTGTGCCATCACACCCGGCCATACCTGGACTTTAATTGGATTTTTATCTTGTTTTTTGAGACAGGGTCTCACTATGTAATTAAGGCTGGCCTTGAACTCACAGCAATCCTCCTGCCTCAGCCTCCCAAGTACTACCTTGGATTTTATCTTCTTATCAGACTTTTTATATTTTAGTTGTGAAAAAAAACTAATACAAACTGTTCTACTCAAACAAGGTTTCTAATTCACATAACTGACAATCTCAGGGTAAGCGAAATGAAGGCATAGGGGGCCCAGAGGGTCGACCCATCAGCTGTCCTTCTCGGGCTGTACCTGTCCATCTCTTTCTCCACTTTCCTGTCCTGCACCCTGTCAGTTCAGCTGGTACCAGGAGAGGGGAAGCAGGCAGTTCCCCAAGGAGGACTTAGATGGAGGCACCAGGGTGGTCCTGTGTGTTACCACAGGGTCCTTCAAGTGTCTCGGGGTGGAGAGGTAGGGAGGAAGCTGTCTACAAACCTTGTAGCACAAATAGGGAGACTGAGGCCCACAGGGGCTGCAGAGGTCCCTGCCACGGTCATTTCATCCCCTCTCCGCCGCAGTTGCTAGACCTTGAACCTGAAGGGCAAGCAGAGGCCCTGGGGGTAGGGGGGCAGCATCTGTGACCCAGGACTCCGGGCAGGGCGGCGGGCCCAAGCTGGGTGTGGTTCGGGCCAGAGAGTACCGGGCACCACAGCTGACTGGTCAGCGGTGCCCACCCCGCTGCAGGCGTTCATCCGCCCCTTCCGGGAGCACCACATTGACCCCACAGCCATCACACGGCACGACTTCATCGAGACCAACGGTGACAACTGCTTGGTGACGCTGCTGCCACTGCTGAACATGGCCTACAAGTTCTGCACCCAGAGCACAGGTAAGGCCAGTCGCTGGGGGGGTGCCCGCAGGGGCGTCAGGGACAGGCTCCCCAGGAGGCTTCTGGGGCTTGAGGCGTGTGCCGCGCTGCTCATAATGATTGTTTATTTGGTTTTTGATTTTTGAGATCAGGCTGCCCTTGAGCTCATCGTGTAGCTCAGGCTGGCCTCCAATTCGCAGCAATCCTCCTGCCTCAGCCTCCCAACTGCTAGGATTACAGCTGTGCGCCACTACACCCAGCCCTGCTCGTAGTGATTTGAAATCTTCTCTGCCATCATCTTCACTTGAAATTGGGGTATTTCACTCTAGGAGAGTGAGACAGGAGAATCTCAAGTTCGAACCCAGTGTGAGCAGCTTAGTGGGCCGGGGATCTAGCTCAGCAGCACAGGCGCCTGCCTGGTAAGCGCAAGGTCCCAAGTTTGATTCCCGGTACAAAAAAAAAGAACAAGCAACTTAGTGAGACCCTGTCTCGAAAGGGCTGGGGATGTAGCTTAGTGCAAAGGTCCCAGGTTCAGTCCCCAGTGCCTCACAGCCGGGGGACAGGCTAGTTGCCGTAAAGACCTGGGTTCCTGCCTGCTCTCCGGCAGTCCTCTCTGTCAGGGGCCTGGGCCATCTGGGTCCTTGTCCCCTCCTGGCTTCACTAAGCTGGAACCAAACTGCAGCCACCTCTCTAAAGGACACATGTGCCCCAGTTGACCACAATCCTCGCTAATCCCTGCGCTCTGCCCCCGACCCACTGTGTTCCTTTGCATTCTTTGGCCACCCTGGGGAGAAGGGGCACAGGCTGGGCTGGGCATAGAGCGCTTGCTCAGTGTATACAAGGCCAAGGCTTCCATCCCGGCATTGCCAAAAAAAAAAAGTCATGTACTCAGGCCTTGGTGCTGCCTGTTTGGGGAGGGGCTTTTCCTCTGCACGCCAGTCCAGCCAGTGAGCACAGGGCCGGGCAGGAATGCCCTCCATCCTCCCCTCCCGCACTGCCCCGCTGAGGTGGTCCTGCCTCGGCCCTTGGGATAAGTCTGAGCACAGGGCCGGCCTCTGGCTGGGCCAGCTCAAGAGCTGGTGACACCCCGCAGCATCCCGTGGGATCAGGCTGAGACTCCCTGGGCAAATCACGTGCAGGTTAACAGTTTCCCAGGAACCTGGGAAAACCCTCATTCCCACTTCACAATGAAGAGACTGCAATTCATAGCCAGGTATTGTGGCACACACCTGTAATCCCAACACCCAGGAGGCTGAGGCAGGAAGATTGCTGCAAGTTTGAGGCCAGCCTGGGCTACGTAGTAAGTTAAAGGCCCGCTGACAGCAGCACTCCATTCTGAGCCATTGCCCGTGCCCCTCCATCGTTGGCTGCTGGGTGGGCAGGGAGGAAGACAGGGTGCTATCTCAGCACTGCCCAGGCCTGGGGGGAGGGCCCTGCCCCGTGTGACCGCTCTGTGGGTCCCCCATGCCCCCTGCAGAAGCCCTGGAGCAGCTGTACCCCTGGGAGTGCTTCGTCTTCTGCCTGATCATCTTTGGCACCTTCACCAACCAGATCCACAAGTGGTCACACACGTACTTCGGGCTGCCACGCTGGGTCACCCTCCTGCAGGACTGGCATATCATCCTGCCACGTAAACACCACCGCATCCACCACGTCTCGCCCCATGAGACCTACTTCTGCATCACCACAGGTGTGGCGCTGGTGGCATGGACTGGGCCCCCCCCAACTCCAGTGCAGGGCCATCGGCAGGGTCAGAGGTCACAGTGGGAAGTCATGCAGTGCTGGCCCTCCCAGGATGTTCTCAGAACATACATCCAAGCTGGGTCCCACCTACTTGGAGGCTGAGGCAGAAGGATCTCTGAATTTAAGGCCAGCCTGGGCTACATAGTGATTTTAAGGCCACCATGAATTACATAGCAAGACTGTCTTACAAAAACAAAAAGTAAAACAAACTAAAAAGGGCTGGAAGCCAGGCTGGTGGCAGCACACCTATGATCCCAGCACTTGGGAGGCTGAGGCAGGAGGATTGTTGCCAGTTCGAGACCAGCCTGGGCTACAAAGTGAGCTCAAGGCCAGTCTGAACTGCATAGGGAGATCCTGTCTCTAAAAGAAATAAGGCAGTGGGGGCGCTGGAGATGTAGCTCGGTGGCAGAGCACCCCTGGTTTCCATCCCCAGTACTCCAAAAAAAAGTCAGGCCACCCTAGGACCGCCTCCATCTGTCCCACATGTGCCCTGGGAGCCTCTTGGTGCTGGTCACTTTGCTCCCCACAAGTTGGCTTTCGGTGCCCCTCTCACAGCCCACCATCTCGGGGCTGTGGTGGGAATGTCGAGGTGCCCGGAGCCCGGTGTTTGGTACATAGTAGTTGCTTGCTAAACTACTGCTGCCATCGCTGGGGCTGTGCATCTTTGTGGAGACAGAGAGCCACAAGACATTTTTTGCACGTCCTGAAGCTGCGCTCCTTGGCCGGCAGGTTTGGGCTAGGACTGAGGTCGTTTAGGAGATGAGTTAACGACACCTACTAAGGAGAGACTCCCCCAGCCCGTGTTACTGTCTGCCTCCCAGCGGGTGGGAGGCTGGGATATGGCTGAGTCAGCGAGCGCTTCCTGTGCCAGGCGCTCTTCGGGTGCTGCAGAAATCGCATGGGACAACGTCGCATGGTGTTGTCCCTGTTGGCGCTGATTGTAGTTGGGGAAGAACCCACGTAAAACCGGAAACAGTTGAGTTAGCGACAGCGCTCACAGATTGCGGTAAAGGCCGTAAACAGGAAGGCAGCTTCAGCGGGCAGTCCAGGAGGGCTTCCCAGCAGCGGGGCGGGTGAGCACTGCGGAGGGAGTGAGCGAGGGCGCCGCCTGGCGGAGCGCCCGAGGCCTTGGGTGGGCGCCCGCCCCCCGGATGCCCTGGTCAGTCCGGCCCCCTGCCGCCTGTAGCCTCTCCCAACCACCCACTCCCCTGCACGGCTGCCCGCGCTCACGCCCGCCGCTGTGCTGTTTCTGCCGCAGGCTGGCTCAACTACCCGCTGGAGAAGCTGGGCTTCTGGCGGCGCCTGGAGGACCTCATCCAGGGCCTGACGGGCGAGAAGCCCCGGGCGGACGACATGAAGTGGGCCCAGAAGATCAAGTAGTCTCGCCCAGCCTGCTGCCTGGTTGCCAACCTCCCCAGCCCCCAAACCGAAGCCATCTGCCAAATCCCAGCCTGCTTGAGCTGACCTCTCCAGGCGGAGGGGCCAACTCCTGGACTGGGCCTGGGCACCCCCAGCCTACCCCTTGGGACACAGAATACTTGAGCCACTGATTTTTTCATTTCCTCTTTTTATTTTCTTTCCTCGGCCCCTCCCGAGCTGCTCCGCCTGCCTACCTGACTGCACAAGAGGGAGCCTGCCCTGCTGGCCGGCCTGCGGGCAGAGGCCACCACCCACCACACTCCCTGCCCCGCCCCGGGCGGCCCTTCAGTGTGGCTGGCTTTGGGGCCACCAAATCACCTCTCTCTGTCCTTCCTTCTCTGGCCCCAGAGGTCTGGGGAGTCCCTGGGACACACAAGTGTCCCCAGACCCTTGTCCTGCCGTGGCCCTGCAAACCGATCATGGAAGTCTGCATGGGTGGACAGCTGCAGCCACCACCTGTGGCCTGGCGTCTCCGCCGAGGATGGCAGCACTCAGCCAGGGTCTGAGGGCAGCCAGCCGGAAGAGGCTGGGACCCCCGCCCGAGTCTCAACACTCCCTCCTCACCCCGCCTCCACCTGCCCATGTATTCCAGCAGACCTGACATTTCCGCAGGGGACCTCTCTGCAAGGCACAGCGCTTGCGAGAAGTCTTGGTCATTTGGGAAGGGGACACTGTGTCCCTTCTAGCCAACATGTGTCAGAGGAGGAAGAGTGGGACTTTTTTAATTTTTTGGTTTTTTTTTAAAGGTGCTTGCTTGTTTAATGTAAATAATAGAAAGCCTTAATATCTTTTCTGTAACACGGAGTAATATTTTAATGTCATGTTTTGGATGTACGTAATATATTTATAACAAAGCACCAAGAGTCTACTTCAGCTTGGCTGCCTTGTGGTTCCTGGGTGGCTGGGGCAGGGGGGCAAAGAGCCAAGAGGTGAGGGTCTCCCCACCCCATTTCCAGGTCCCCCAGCTGGTGTCACCTGTCACCTGAGACAGAATTGATACTGACATGTGCTCCAGGCACTTTGGGAGAAGACCTGAGTTGAATTCCCAGAGCACCTAGTGTGTGCTGGGCTCAGGTTTGGACACTGGGGCACCAGGACGTGCCTGGTGGAAATGACCAACTGAGAAAGGAGACCGTAAGCATCATAAATGCGTGCGGAGATGCGTGTGGTGATGTGTGAAGAAAGCCAAGCAGGACAGAACCACACCGGAACAGTAGTCTGGCCTGGCGTCTACGGTATTATTAAGAAGAAAAGCAAGCCTGTTAGTGTTAGAAACGGAAATGAGAAAACTCTGGAGCAGTCACAGATACAAGGTTTATTTTTTGAAAACATGACCCATAACCATTTTCCTTCAACTTTGCCCACCAGTAGACTTGTTACTGAGGAAAGAGGTATTAGAATATGTCAGCTCCAAGTGACAGGAAACTTTATGGCAGAAATTAGTAGATAAAGTGACTGAATCACCCCGTCGTGGTGGTGCACTCCTGTAATCCCAGCACTCAGGAGCCTGAGGCTGGAAGGTTGTCATGAGTTTGAGGTCAGCCTATAAGACAGAAAAGTCCACAGGTGGTTCTGACTTCGGGTTTGGCAGGACCCAGGGGTTCATATCATTCATCAGAACTTTGTCTCTGCTCGGTTTTTCCGAGTTGAGACTTGACATTGCTTAAGTTCGCCACCCTCAGTAGTACTCCTCCTGGTGGTTGCAGTGAAAGCCCCAGGGCAGGCTTTCATTGGCCTGGAACGGATCACGTGTCTGCTCCTGAACCAATCACCTTGACCAAGGAGGATGAACTGTTTTGATTGGCCAGGGCTAAAACAGGTCCTCTGGTTGTAAGGGTGGGATTGGCCCTCCCCAAACAACAGGAGGGAGCTTCCAAGAAGAAAATTAAGGTGGAACTACAAAATAGTCTCTGATGGCTGCAGCGGGCAGCCACATTCCAGCGGGACGTGATGCACAGCCTCCGGGCTGCAGAAATTGGCTTCCTGTCTCAGGCCCTGCTGACCTGTGCCTGTTCCCTAGAGCTGACCAAAAACCTCAGCTCGAGCCCAGAGAAGAAGAGTGGTTGGCACAAGGTCCCCCAGCTAGTAATGAAAGAGCTGGGCCTGAAACTATCCTGCATCTCCTGATAACTTTGCCAGACAAGAAGACATGTTCTGCTTTGGTTAGAGTTGGGGACGCTTGGGAGGTGGGGGCTTGCACAGAGTGTAGGACAGCCAGATGGGAAAATGCTACTCAGTAAGTACCAAACAATGACCGCACTCCAGACCACGGAGAGCTCTGCAGAGGTCCCATAAGCAGGCCCTGCAAGCCATACATTGGTGGTGCACACCTGTAATCCCAGCGCTCAGGAGGCTGAGGTAGGAGGGTCATTGCGAGTTTGAGACCAGCCTGGGCTACAAAGTGAGCTCAAGGCCAGCCTTGAGCTGCACAGGGAGACCCTGTTTCAAAAAAAGAAAAAACCATGCAGTCTCTGCAGCTCTAAGCAGTGACTACTCTTAGTACCATTTGCAGATGGGGAATCAGGCATGGGAGCCTTGTATCCAAGGTTGCACAGCTGCGAGGTGTGTCAGGTTCAATCCAGACCCCTTGTGCTTCTAACACCCATCAGGCATCACAGTGGAAAGAGGGAGGTACGGCAGTGATACGTGAGAAATGTGTCCTTTGAGAAAAAACATCAGGGCTGGGGATTTAGCTCAGCGGCACAGCGCCTGCCTGGCAAGTGCAAGGTCATGAGTTCAATTCCTGGTACCAGAAAAAAAAGAACATCAGTCACATGAGAAGTGACAGCTGACTTAGAGACCAAGATGACCTGGCGACCCAGAGTACAGTGCTCTCCACCTCAGCTAACAAAAGAGGAGCCAGGTGTGGTGGTGCATTCCTGTAACCCCAGCACCCTGGGAGGCTGAGGCAGAAGGATAACAAGTCTGAGCCCACCCTGGGCGATTTAGAGACCTTGTCTCAAAAATTTGAAAAAGAACTGGAGATGTAGCTCAGTGCAAAGTCCCTGTGTTCAATACCCAGTACTGCCAAAAGAAAAGAAAAAAGTGGCAGAAATGCAGATTTTTACAATGCTGCCTCCGTGTTTATAACACCGTGGGCAAAATAAAACAGCGTAGGCCAACATTGCCACCAGCTTAATGGCCTTGTGCTGGGATGGCCCAGTTTTAGGTAGGCTTCTGCTGCCCTCTAGTGGCAGTGCAGGTTAGGTAACGTGCGGGGCAAACAGGTTGCCAGGCCCTGGGCTTGCTTCTCTTGGAGATGAGCGCACCTCAGGCCACCTACCAACTTCAACCCCAACCTTTTGGATAAACTCCAGATGTTCAGCCCACCCTTTACACATTGTTTGTAAGAGGCGTGGCCTGCATAAAGTGAGGAATATGAACCAAACCACACAAAAGGGGCAAGAGAAGAGGTCAGCTGACAATGGCCAGTGGTGGGTCTATGGCTCACAAGCTTTCTTTTCTTTTTCTTTCTTTTTTTATTTTTTTTTATTTTTTGGTATTACTGAGGCTTGAACCCAGGACCTTCCACTAAGCTACATCCTCAGCCCTCTTTTCTTTTTTATTTTGAGACAGGGTCTCACCAACTTCCTAAATTTCCAACTTAAGCTCGCCATCCTCCTGCCTCAGCCTCCCAGGATGCTGGAATTACAGGTATGCACCACCACAGGTGGCTAACAAGCGTTTTTGAGATGTCTGTGTGGGGTGGGTATTTTACAACACAGGGCGTGCCCATTTCAGTGTCCATTGTAAGGCTGACCTGGCACAGCCATACCCACTCACCTTCCTGTTGTCTGTGGATCTGCTTTGTAGCAACAGAGGTAAACAAATGGTTGCAACCCAGACCAACCAGCGCCAAAGCTACAGTAATTACTCTGACTCTGCGAAAAAGGTTACCTCCACTGGTCTAGAGAAGAGTGAGCTCCTCTCCAGCTGTGTTCCCGCACCCCTCCGTCCCCTTCTAAGGCCACCATTTTTATAAGAACTTTGGAAGTCCCTTGTAGGAGCACTGAGATGTCCACACACACACACCCTTCACACAGAACACAGGACATAATACGTGCAGTTACATATGTCCCTTTTTTTTTTCCATTGAACATTTTTTTTTTTTTGTCTTTTTGAGACAGGGTCTTGCTATGCAGTTCAGGCTGGACTTGAGCTCACTTTGTAGCCCAGGCTGGTCTTGAACTCTCAACAATCCTCCTGCCTCAGCCTCCCCAGTGCTGGGACTACAGACGTGCAAGACCTGTGGATCCGAAGGCCCATTTCCAGACACTGAATCAGGATCAAAGGCTGCTTGTGATTGACACTGCAAGCTTGCGCCAGTCTTCCGCAGCAGCTACACGATTTCTACTCACAGTGCTGAGGGCACTGGTGTCCCCAAATCCTTGCCAACAGGGTGTTATCCAATGCTGAGTCCTCTGCCCATCTGATACATGGTTTTCATTTGCATTTCTCTTACTGTATTTCACTGAATCTAAGATGTCCTGAGATGCATCCTGATTTCAGATGTCAGACTGGGAAATTTGCATCTTAGAATCATTGAAATACAACCTGTTGAGTGAGATAGAATATCTTATCATCTGTTTAAAAGTTATTTGCAGCTTGGCATGGTGGCGCACACCTATAATCCCAGCACTCGGGAGGCTGAGGCAGGAGGATCATTGCAAGTTGGAGGCCAGCCTGGGCTACAAAGTGAGCTTAGGGTCAGCCTGCACTGCATAGAGAGACTCTATCTCAAAACGGCAAAAATAAATAAATAAATAATCATTTGCGTTTCCTTTTTCTTTTGGTACCAGAAATTGAACTCAGGACCTAACTCAGGTGCTGTGCCACTGAGCTATATCCCCAGCCTAGCATTTCCTTTATATGTTCGTTTGCTTTTGCAATTTTCCCGGAAGAGAGGGTAGCAGAGGTTAAGAACTTGGATCTGGATATTAAAGACGTGAGGAATTTGGAAAAAAAATACTGAAAAATGTAAATGCATAAAATTATATGATGTTATCTATATGTTTATATTCTCAATTCCTAATTAAAGGAAAACAAAACCCCTAACCTCATGCTAGAGCATTTATTTATTTAATTATTTATTTATTCACAATTCCCAGCTCTGCCACCTACAAGCTTGAGACTTTGGGCAAGTTATGTAACTCTTCTGTGTCTCAGCTGTAAAACAGGAGAGACAATGGTACTGTACTTACTTCACAGGGTAGTTGGGAAATGTAAAGCACTATGTTCATGGAACACACTAAATGCTTGGTACATGTTTGCTATGGTTATTACCTTTGGGGAGGTTTTCTTCTTTTTCTTTTTTTTTTTTTTCCTGTGATGTTAGGGTTTGAGCCCTGAGCCATGTACACCCCAGGAAATCACGTACCACTGAGCCACACCCCTGCCCTATCTTTCTCTCTTTCTTTCTTTCCCTTTCTTTCTTTCTTTCTTTCTTTCTTTCTTTCTTTCTTTCTTTCTTTCTTACCTTTTTGAGACAGGGTCTCACTATGCAGTTCAGGCTGGCCTCAGACTCACTCACTTTGTAGCCCAGGCTGGCTTTGAAGTCACAGCAATCCTCCTGCCTCAGCTCCCAAGATGTCTATTTTCTTAATGAGCTGCAAGAACTCTTTATAGATTAACTCATTCTCTGTCATTCCCCCACTCCCACCCAGACCTCTGGTTTTCAATCCTTTTTCCCTGACCACAAAATACTAAATGATACAAAACTCAGACACTGCAGAAATAAATTGTACAGGGCAAAGCTGGCTGGGCTGGGCTGGGGCTCAGGGCTGGACCCTGTGCTTAGCATATTTAAAGCAAAAAAAAAAAAAAAAAGAAACAACGCAGGTGTCCATCAATACAGGAATGAAATGTACCATGAC